TGAACGAATCATAGTCGATTATTCTCCTCGAATTCGACTGTAATTGGTCAATTTCTTACGACTTAAGGCTTAAAACATCTATTGTAGATCCGGACTAACAGTAACCATAAGACGTACCGTAAGAATCAGCCAATTAGAATTAAGAGTTCGAAAGAATTTTCTACTGTGATTGGCTGATTCTTACGGTAGGTGTTATGGATACTGTTACGAAAGGTGTGTGCCATGGCCTTAAGGCTGCAGCATAGACTCTTGCATAACGCATAACGCATAGTGCATAAGCGAATCAACTAATCAGAATCTTCCCTTTCCTTCCATTCCATCGAAAAGAAGAATTTCGATTGGTCGATTCCCTTATGCACTATGCATTATGCGTTATGCAAGAGTCTGTGCTGCGGCCTTTAATGCCCGTATCAGACTACGGATTGACGATTACGATTGATGGTTGCCTGGTTCTATTTCAGCCAATTACGATAGACTCGCTACATCGTGATTGGTTGAAGTAGAACCGAGCAATCATTAATCATCAATCCGTAGTCTGATACGGGTATAACGGTTGCTCGGTTCTACTTCAACCAATCGCGATATAGCGCTTCCATCGTAATTAGCTGAAATAGAACCGGGCAACCGTCAATCGTAATCTTCAATCCGTAGTCTGATACGGGCATTATACTGGCTGCGTTCAGCAGAACGTTCGTTTTGCAACTGTTGGAAGTTTCCTTCGAGCTGATTGGATCATACTTTTAGATCTAGAAGAATGGTCCTATCTCAGCAGACAATCATAAAACGGTTGCAAAACTGTTGAGTCTGCTGAACGCAGCTATTGGCTATGTTCCAAATTTACTGTCAGAATTGAAAATGACAGTTTACGTTACGTGCATTATAGATTTTCAGTACAGGCAGTCAATTTTGGAACATAACTTCTATAGGGTCTTTAATTTTCGCTGATGCTACGATTTTATCGGCGTGTCACAAAAGTGAATGTGGTACGTAGTTCTTGAAAACGGACATTAGTGCGCTAGCGTACGGGAAGTTAGAAACGTTACAGGAAAAAGGCCGAGATGACCGTTCTCAAGTTTCTCTCCGGTAGAACACAAGACAACAAAACGATGAATAACGAAATATTTCAACGAAAACGATCTATTTGAGATTTAATCGGCGGTAGAGGCGGGAAGAATACATAAATTATTGACAGTTTACTCGCATTTCTCACGCCATAGTAAAATCGTCGAAGATAAAACGTTTATACAATACAAAAACGGAAAATCGAGCGCGAGTATTAAATCTTGCAGATATATGCTTACGTCGACGTTGCAGTAATTCTAAATAATTCTTGACGGTCAAACGCATTCGTTGATTTGCGTGTGTCATCCAGAATAATGATTCCTTATTATGTAAATTACACATAAGGAAATGCTATGGTGAAAAAAAAGTGTTTGAAATTCTTTCAATCTTTTGCAACGGATGGTGGCACTCGAAAATGACTGACTCTACCTCTGCTGCCTCTTCTTTTGTCGGGTAACTTGTCTGCTCACTTATACAAGTTTCACGATTTTTCATGTGACTGTAATATTTGTTATATTAATTTCAAGTTTTTAAATGATACACAAGATAAATTCCATTGCATGAACATCGTGATATAAAAGATAACTTATGTATTTCGTGGAAAATATGCATTTAACCTTATATTTTATACGAATAAAATAAGAATAAATGAAGATGACTGATAAGAAAGAGATAGGCCCGTATTCATAGTCGGATCTTATATTTAAGATCATCTTAAGTACAATCTTAAGATGTCATGAACCAATTAGAGAGCTGCATTAGCATCTTAAGACATTACTTAAGACAGTATTAAAATAAGAATGGACCATGAATTCTGGAGATAAATAGATAGAGAGACAGATAGATAGAGAGGGAGAGAGAGAGAGAGAGAAAATATCCAAATATATAAACTTTTAAAACATGGTAGCTCTTTTTTACAATTTTTAATATCCTTATATTTGCCATTTTTGTTACATTTTAATGTAATATGTTATGATAAAACCGTAAAATTCATTAATTATGCTTAAGATTTTAGAAGAAATACAGATTAAATATGTTCGTGTTTAATATTATTAGTAAACATGTGTACTTAAGAATGTATTGGTTGTATAGTCCCTGCGACTAAATTTAAAGACTTGGAAATGTATTTAATATTTACACTTCAAATAAGCTATATATATATGAAAGTTGTACAAATAAAATTATATTTTTATAGTTTATAATCTATTTTTATAGTTTATCTAGTCTATTTGTTATTAAAAATTAAATTATTTTTTTACAACTTTATAAGAGAAATCTCAGTTTTTTGTGTGAGTACTGTAAGTGTTCAAGATGATTTGTAAGTTTCATTGTGATTGTCTTTTTACTTATTTTATAAATAAATAAATAAAATTTTGTTTATTTACAGAACAACTAACATGTTCACGCAATAATATATATCTTTATATTATATTATAAATTATCTCGAATATTTAAAGTATTTGAATAAAAAAATTCTGATTTTTTAATGATATATTTCTTAATATTTTTATCAGTCACATATTTATTTCTTATTGAAATAATTTTGTATCCAAGTTCTCTAAAAATCGCTATATTTTTTTCTAGCACGTTAAAATTCAAAATAAAATAACTAATAATTTTTTCATAATTTTTTTAATGTTTTCAAAATATGTCCAATACATCCAATACATCCAATCGTTAAAAATACTTTAATTACGGTATATTAATCGATATAAATTTTGTTTATTGCATTTCTTGTTGAATAATTTACTATTTAAACTGTATGTAATCCTTTTTATTTCATGAATTATATAACAATTAAATTAAAGAAAACAAAGGTACAAATTATAACCTAATCTTTATATATGATACAATAATCTCTAATAAAATATTTATTATAAAAATAAACAAAAATTTTTAAAAATGCAGGAATTAAACAAAAATTCTTATGTTATCTAATAAAATTGTTTTATTTACTACATTATAATTTTAGAATGGCATTTTGGATTGTAATGTTATGATTGGATGTTATTTCAACATATTTTTGTTAAAGTAAAGTACTAAATTCAGAAATTTGAATACAAAATATATCCTTTTTTATGATAGAAGATAGAAAATTGTCACATACATGAGGAAATGTTTAGAATTACCTATGCATATGTCTTTAATACATAATATTCTGTTAATAACAGTCTATTATCAATAAAACTTACGAATAAATTTTATCTACTTTTATTTAGCGAATGTACATCTTGTAGAATAATCAGCAACATAGTGACTTTACTGAAATGTGTTGTACGGACGGCATTTGTGATAGTAAACAATGTCTATTGCATACCTACATATGTAGTATGGATGATGTTATTGTTTCCTGTAAAAATATATCAACCTCAAGTGTACTGGCGAATCGAAGGCCTATTTTTCCACTGGTTATTGGCAATGGTATCAATGTGGACTTGGTCTGCAGGTTACGACAGTAAGTATTAATGGAAGAATGCAAATTAGAAAAAAAGTTTGTTGAAAAGGAAAATAAATTTTTTGTTCTCCAGTAATAGAGCAAGGTGATGACATACAGAAAATTATAAGCGAAAAAACATTAGTTATAGCGAATCATCAGAGCACTGGTGATGTTCCTATATTAATGACAACATTTAACGCCAAACCAAATGTTTTACCTAATTTAATGTGGATAATGGATAGAGTATTCAAATTTACTAATTTTGGGATAGTTTCTATATTGCATCAAGATTTTTTCATTATATCGGTAAGTACGAATTTGTTTCTTAAAAATGTATACAGGGTATTTCTTGAATCAGTCGCTACTTTATGTGTATGTTTAAATTCTTCACGTATTTCGACGACTCAATTCGACAATTATTTTTATATTTGTGTGTTGCTGTATATGTTCTCTACAGTCATGTTTGTTTACATACTTCTCATTATTTTAGGTATCGACGATAGATTAGTGAACTATAT